AAAAAAAAAAAAAAAAAAAAAAAAAGCTCACAAATCACAATCCCTAACAATCTAACATTTCAAACTCATAAAACACAGATCCAAAGGTTACTCTTTTACAGGTTATTTCTCCGTTCACACTGAAAAGGATTACTAATTCCGCAGCCAAAGATCACAACTCAGTTGCACTTCACAAGCATACAAGCAACCACAAGAATCAAAAGTTACTCTTTTTTAAAACTCAGAAACAGAGATCCAAAGGTCAATCCTTTCCAGGCTATTTCTCAATTTAGACCAAAACAGAGTAGTGATTCAGCAGCCAAAGATCACAAACAGGTCAGTTACATCTCAAATGCTTACTCTTTCTCAAACTCAGAAACACAGATCCAAAGGTTTAATCTTTTTTTTTTTCAATTTTCTTTTACTTTACACTGAAACCAGTTAATATCATAATCCATCAATACTTTCAATTTCACAATCAATCAATAATCAGTAATCTCTCAAAGAACATCATAACACACCATAGCTAAAACCAAAACCCTAGATTCATCAATCCAATCCAAAATCAAAAAAACAAAAAAATCCCCAATTCCAAAAAAAAAAAGGATACATACATACCAGTAAAAGGGTTACGTTTAAGAGAAGGATCAAGCTGATTACACCACCGAAGACGACAAGACTTCCCAGACCGACCAGGTATACTCCGTGCCATCGAACTCCAATTCCTCGGTCCGAACTTCTCAACGAGCTCACTCAACATAACGTCTTCCTCACGAGACCACGTCCCTTTGATCCTCTTTTTTCTCTTCTTCACGCTCGTCCCTTCTCCAACGAACTCCACCGTCCCTTCTTCCGATCGTCTCCAAATCTCTCCCTCCATACGTTTTCGGATTTCCTCTCTCTCTTACCTAACCGGAACTTAACTGTAATAAAGCGTTTGTCCTCGTTGGTGTCGCGTGAAGACACGCTCGTAGGGTTAAAAAGTGTTTCAGAGTCTTTCTGCTTATCTTTACTTTCTCACCCCTCCGGAACTGCATTTACCATATTACCCTTACCGTTAGTGCATTTTCTTATTTTTATAAGGATATTTAAGTAAATTTAATAAAACAGACGAGATCCGGAAGTTGATCGCTTTCATCTATGGCGGGAAATCACGTCGTCTTATTGGGCCTATTTAGGCCTTTTAATAATTTTTAACCCTTCGTAATGTTACTCCGATTTAGTTTTATACCGGTGGCATTTCTAATGGAGACTTATTTTTTTCAGTATTATTTACACTAAAATATAGTAACTCTATTGTTGAGTAGATTTTGCTTCAATAGTCTATTTTATAATAGAATTATTTTATTATAGAGTGAAATATAGATTAGACCATTGAAAAAAAATCTACTCAATAATAGAATTACTCTATTTTAATGTAAATAATCGAGGAAAATATAAGTCTCTATTAATGATGGTCTTATTTTTATTTATTTTACTTTCTCACCCCGTCTTTTACCATATTACCCTTACCGTTAGTTCATTATCTTATCTTTACAAGGATACTTAAGTCAATCCCTTAAAACAGTCGGAAGTTGATCGCTTACCTCTATGGCGGGAAAATGACGTCGTCTTATTGGGCCTATTTAGGCCTTTTAGTAATTAAAAAACCCGTCGTAATTTAATTCCGGTTTAGCTTTATACCGGGTTTGCGATTTTACTCTACAAAAACATTATCCGATAAGTTAAAGTTCTTGTCGGAAAAGAGACACGATGATGAAGCTGCAAGGAGGACTTCTCCGATTGAGCTTAATAATCCCGTCGGCAATCAAAACACCGCGTAATCTCTCCATCTCCGCCTGCGTCGTGGAGCGTAACCACCAGCTAACCGCGAGGGAGAGGCGGCAGCTCCGTAATGAACGTCGAGAGAGCAAATCGGGTTACAGCTGGAGAGAAGAAGTTGAGGAGCGTCTGATCAAGAAACCTAAGAAACGTTACGCGTCGTGGACGGAGGAGCTGAATTTGGATACTTTGGCTGAGTCTGGTCAGCAATGGTGGGTGGTTAGAGTCTCGAGAGTGAGGGGTCACGAGACTGCTCAGGTCTTGGCTCGTGCTCTCGCTCGTCAGTTCCCTGAGATGGAATTCAATGTAAGTTTTTGTTTTTTACTTGAGAAAACAGAGAGGAGAGTGAGAAAAGTTTTATTAACTTGATGGTGAAATAAATGGTTTTTTTTTTAATCGGGCTTCTAGCTAGTGGTAAAGGGCTTACAGCTGTGAGTACCAGCTGTGAGTACCGCCAACTAGGTTCGAATCCGACCACTGGGGATCCATGGACATAGTCTGCATCATTTCTGTGAGGGCAGGATACCTCTGTATAATTCAAAATAAAAAGAAATAAATTGTTTTTTTTTCAGGTTTATGCTCCGGCTGTTCAGGTGAAGAGGAAGTTGAAGAATGGGTCTATATCTGTAAAACCGAGACCTGTGTTCCCGGGTTGTATTTTTATTAGGTGTGTATTGAACAAAGAGATTCATGATGCTATAAGAGAAGTTGAAGGTGTTGGAGGCTTTATAGGGTCAAAAGTTGGAAACACGTGAGTCTTCTCGCTCCCTCTCTCACTCTCAATGTGTGTGTGAATTGATTTGTTTATGCGTTTCTTTTGTAGCAAGAGACAGATTAATAAACCGAGACCGGTGGATGATAGTGACTTGGAAGCTATATTCAAACAAGCGAAAGAAGAGCAAGAGAAAGCAGACATTGAGTTTGATGAGGGAGAACGAGCTGAGGAAGAAGCGAGTTTAGCATTGCAGAAAGCTCTTGCGTCTAATTCAGATGGTACTGAGATTGTAGAATCTCTAGCAGAAGCTAAACCGAAAACAGCTCCGAAGAAAGCTGCTCCGAAGAAGAAGAAACTTGCGGCTGGTTCTACAGTTCGAGTTCTATCAGGGACATTTGCTGAATTCGTTGGCAACCTAAAGAAACTGAACCGCAAAACTGCAAAGGTACGAAGTAATATTAGCTCAATGTGTGAATATACAAATAAAAAGCCTTACAAATGTTTTTGCTTAGTTGCTTGTTTATTGTGTTGTTTGCAGGCAACAGTGGGTTTTACTTTGTTTGGGAAGGAGACACTAGTGGAGATTGACATCAGTGAACTTGTTCCTGAGATTCAGTCTTAAACATTGTTCACAACATGTAAGTTTTTTGGTTAGACAAAAATTGAATATTGCTCGGACATATTTGGTTAGTGACGTATTGTATCTTCATTAGAGAAAAAAATAAGTCAAAAACAAAAAAAATGTGGGAAGACCATAAACAAACATCTTGCTGTTTATAATTCTGGCCAACTTCTCCCGAACTGTGTCCCGTTTTCTTACATTTAAATCAGAAAGCATGGTGTTTATTTGGTCCACATTTGGAAATTGGTAAATTTATGGATTGGGCCCAATTCTAGCAAAAGCCCAATATCATCACAGTAACGAAGAGCCGTTAGATCAGTAATTAAAATAAATAAGCAAATACAAACCGTTAGATTAACTTTGTTAAGAAGAAGCCCTAGATTCATTTTATAAAAACCATTAAAACGAAAACCCTAGCTGTTTCCGTCACTCTGAAGTCTGAACAGAGGAACTCGAGTCTTATCTCATCCCATTCGCAACAATGGTGAAGGCAACAAAGGCTGAGAAGAAGATCGCGTACGACGCGAAGCTATGTCAACTCATCGACGAGTTCACACAGATCTTGGTCGTTGCAGCAGACAACGTGGGATCGACTCAGCTTCAGAATATTAGGAAGGGACTTCGTGGAGACTCAGTGGTGCTCATGGGGAAGAACACTATGATGAAACGTTCGGTTAAGATTCACGCTGAGAATACTGGAAACACTGGAATCCTCAATCTGTTGCCCCTCCTTCAGGTTCGGTTTAACGTTTTGAGATTGTCTAATTTTTTATTGAAAGTTTTGATTTTTATTGGGATGGTTTATGTGTTTTGTTTGTTAGGGAAATGTTGGTTTGATCTTCACCAAGGGTGACCTTAAGGAAGTGAGCGAGGAAGTTGCCAAGTACAAGGTTTGTCTCATCGATCATGTCTTGTTTGTTTGTGATTAGCTTTGAAGCTTGTAGACATGAATAGTTTCTTGCTTGCGTTTCTGTTTTGTTATTGGTTTAGTTTCCACATTTTAGCTATCGGATCAATAACATTGTTCTTAATAGTTACTGTCTTCTGCTTCAACTTGTTCATGACTGTCCGTAGCTCTGTTCTTAATTGTCTGCCTTGTAATCTTGTAGCAAGTGTATGTATTTAGATTTGAATCTTCTAGACATGAATGGTTTCTTACAAAACTATATGTATACATCAGTTTACTTCCACATATTAGCTCTTCGTTTATTACTAATCCAAAGTTCATGTTTAGCTAAATTTATTAGTTTTGTAACTCTGTTCTTTTAATATGTCTCACTATGTAATCTTGTTAGCAAGTGTTTGTATATAGGTTTGGTTCTTGTAGACATGAATGGTTTATTTTTGCATAACTATCTGTTTATATCAGTTTAGTTCCACATATTATCTCTTCGTTCATGACATAACCATAGCTAATGTGTAGCTAAAATTATTTGTTGGATCCTCAATGTGATTAGATTAAAATTGAACTCTCTAATGTATGTCTGTGTAATATGAACAGGTTGGTGCTCCTGCTCGTGTGGGTTTGGTTGCTCCAATTGATGTCGTTGTCCAACCTGGTAACACCGGTCTTGATCCATCCCAAACATCTTTCTTCCAGGTTTGTTTAATAATACTTTGTTATAACTCTTCACTTTTCGAAGTTATTATTAACTCATGAATGTGTTATTGGGATTTTGTAGGTTCTTAACATCCCAACTAAGATTAACAAGGGTACAGTCGAAATCATCACCCCTGTTGAGCTAATCAAGCAAGGTGACAAGGTCGGTTCTTCTGAAGCCGCCCTTCTAGCCAAGCTCGGCATCAGACCGTTCTCTTACGGTCTTGTCGTCCAGTCGGTTTACGACAATGGCTCAGTCTTCAGCCCAGAGGTTCTTGATCTTACGGAAGATGACCTTGTCCAGAAATTTGCCGCTGGTATCTCCATGGTCACTTCATTGGCTCTTGCTATCTCTTACCCTACCCTTGCTGCTGCACCACATATGTTCATCAATGCATACAAGAATGCGTTGGCTATCTCTGTTGCTACTGAGTACACTTTCCCTCAAGCTGAGAAGGTTAAAGAGTTCTTGAAGGTTAGTCATCAGATTTGTTATATCTTTTTTGTTTGATTTTGGAGCTTGTAAGGCTTATTGAATTGTTTTGTGTATAATCTGGAATACAGGATCCAAGCAAGTTTGCTGTTGCTGTAGCGGCGGTGTCTGCTGATGCAGGTGGTGGTGCTTCAGCTGGAGCTGCCAAGGTAGAGGAGAAGAAGGAAGTAGTTGAGGAATCAGATGAAGAAGACTACGGTGGTTTTGATATGTTTGGCGATGAATAGATTAATATATCTATCAAGTTTTCCTTTTTGTCGATGCTATAAGTGTTACTTCGTTTGTAGTATGATGTTTTTCAACTTTATTGATCTTGGCCAGTTCAGATTTATGCTAGTTTGAAAATGTTTCGTTTGAGTTCTCTTGATCATATCTTTAGTCTTTGCTCTCTCTTCTCAATTCTGATATATCATGGTTAACAAGCTCCTTTTGCGTTACATATTCAAAACAAGAAGGCTATTCTTTGTAAAGTAAACGTGTCACGTTTCTCATATTTGTAATCAAACAGAGAGTTGTTATTGCTCACTTTTACCTTAGATGAAAACGACAAGTAGTTAGAGATCTTCTGGCCTGGGCATTTGGATATTTGGTTCGGTTTCGGATAAGAATTATTCAGTTTTGAGTATATCGGATAAATCACTCTTATGTACTTATGAGATTTCTGTTCGGTTTTGGTTTGGTTCCAGTTTGGTTTCGAATACTCATTTAATATATAAATCAAATATATATATATATATAATATATTAGTTAATATGTTAATTTAAATGGTCTAGTGTTTACAAACTTAATCCAACAAGAGTTCGAATCAATAAAATGTAGATTTTATAAATATTTATTATATTTTAATATAGAAATATCATATATATTTATAATATAATAGAATAAATAAAACATGCCATGATCCGGTGGTAAAAATATACTTACTCTTTCTATCTAATATGAATTCAATTGGGCTTGATATCATTTTATCTTATTTAAAAAAATTTAACTTGTTCGATTCTGGTTCAGTTTTCCGGATATTTTAAAATTTTCCGGTTTTCGGTTTCGGGTATTTCGGTTCAGGGTTTTTTTGCCCAGGCCTATTCTCGACTCTCCCTTCCACAGTCTCATTCTTCTTCTCGATCTCTCCTCAATTCAGCAAACCCCGAATTTGATTGGGTTTTGCAAAATCTCACCCTTATAATTGCATTCAGTTCTCCATAGCTGAATCTGGAGTGTGATTCACCATGAAATCACGTGCGCGACGGTGTCTGCTGAGATTCTTCCTCTTCCTCATCTTATCGAACCCTTCCTATGGAGAAAACAAGTTCAGAGAGCGTAAAGCCACCGATGACGAGCAGGCCCACCCAGAAATGTAGGTTCCGATCTGTATATTGGCTTAGTGAGTAGACAATGTAACGAATCAATTTGATAGACTCACTTGTGCGTGTTTATGCTACGATTTGAGTAGTTTTTTCTGTTGTTGTGGTGTTGCAGTGATGAAGATGCTTTGTTGAATACGCAGTGCCCTAGAAACTTGGAGCTGCGTTGGCAAACTGAAGTTACTTCCAGCGTTTATGCTACACCCTTGATTGCTGATATTAACAGGTTTGATGTTTTAATTTTTTTTAAAAAATTAGATATTTGAGTTTTTGATTGAGGATTATGAGTGCTGGCTCAGTTTTTATTTGTTTATTGAAGCCCTGATTTGTTTTTTTTGTTTGTTATAGTGATGGAAAGCTTGACATTGTTGTTCCATCTTTTGTTCATTATCTTGAAGTTCTTGAAGGCTCTGATGGAGACAAGATGCCAGGTGCTGTGATATCTTATCTTCTTAGTTTTTCTCGTTCTGAGTTTTTTTTTTTTGTGTGTGTCTTGGGCTTGTTCATCTAATGATGTAGAATGATAGACATTGATAATGTGACTGATGAATGAACTGGTGAAATGCTAGGGTGGCCTGCTTTTCATCAGTCGAACGTGCATTCAAGTCCTCTTCTGTTTGATATCGACAAAGATGGTGTGAGAGAAATTGCTCTGGCGACTTACAATGGTGAAGTGCTCTTTTTCAGGTAATTGTTCCTCTCAAGTGAAATTTATAGACTCTTTTATGAGTTATCATGAGCCTTGGGTTTTTTATGGATTTCCAGGGTATCCGGCTTTTTGATGTCAGATAAGCTAGAAGTGCCACGTAGGAAAGTTCACAAGAACTGGCATGTGGGATTGAACCCTGACCCTGTTGATCGTTCACATCCTGATGTTCATGATGAACTGCTTGTGCATGAAGCTGAGGAAATGAAGGCATCGACCACTCGTAAGTTTCTTTATCATGTTAAACTCCTACATCACTTTTCTAGTTTGGTGGTTAAATTAGGCCCAATGACCACAGTTTCTGCTTGCTTGAATTTGTGTTCTTCCTGATATTATTAGTTTACAGTGGACTCGTAACAGATGGTTATGTGGTTTAGTTAATTGTAAGTGGGAAGCTAAGTTTATGATTGGGGCAACGGCTTCAGCTGATCTGAAGAATTAGTGTGTTTGCGTTTTGTATTTATCGTATGAATTTGCATTAACTGTTGAGGTTTTCCATCCACTCTTATCAGTATCTCCGGAATTTAGACGGTAGAGAAAGTACATGGATTAGCAGAGTCGCTATGTGTCTTGATTAAATATGACTCTTTGACTAACTTCTCTTCTTTGTAGATCCGGATGCAACTACGACAACACCAAACGTTACAGTCTCGATGACGAAAGAATCTCATGACGAGACTTCAAATGTCTCATCTCAAGAAGATCAAAAGAAACCTAAGAATAACCAAACAGAAGCTGTCGTCAAACCTACTCCAGAGCTGCATAACTCCTCCTTGGATGTTACAGCAAATAACTCAGTAACAAATGATACTAAGGCTGGCTCAACAGAAAATCTCAATGGAAATGTAACCTCCAATGAAGTGGATCAAAGCAAGATCAGTGAAGTTAAGAACGAGACTGTTATTAAATTACATTCTAGTACGGATAATTCCTCAGGAACTTTGGGGGCATCTGGAAACAGCAGTACGACAGAGACAGGAACCAAAAGTGGGAGGCGACTTTTGGAAGATGATGGCTCAAAAGAATCTGCGGACGGCCAGTCTGACAATAAAAACAACAGTGAGGGTATTCGCATGGCCACAGTTGAAAACGATGGAGTATTAGAAGCTGAAGCAGATTCAGCCTTTGACTTTTTGCGTGATAATAATGATGAATTAGGTGCTGAATACAGTTCTGATTATGAAGATTATGTTAACGAGACCATGTGGGGTGATGAGGAATGGGTCGAGGAGAAACATGACATTTCTGAAGATTATGTGAATATTGACGCCCATATACTCTGCACTCCTGTGAGTTTCATCCATGTCAAAAACCATTATCTTAGATTACTTGCTTCCATGAGAGATTTTACAGTTTCACTTCTTTTATCAGGTAATTGCTGACATAGACAAAGATGGAGTAGAGGAGATGGTTGTTGCTGTTTCCTATTTCTTCGACCCTGAGTAAGTTTGTGTTTTATCTCTTTACCATATTCTGTCGATGCAAAAGCATCACTAATAATGATTTTCTGTGAAAACCGCTTCCAATTTATTTACTCTGCTGAGTATAATTGACACTGATAAGCAAAATTTTCAGGTATTATGACAATCCAGAACATCTGAAAGAACTTGGTGGTATTGACATCAAAAACTATATTGCTAGTTCAATTGTGGTTTTCAATCTTGAGACTAAACAAGTGAAGTGGGTCAAAGAGCTAGATATGAGTACGGATAATACAAACTTCCGTGCATATATTTATTCTTCCCCAACGGTTGTTGATCTGGATGGCGATGGTTACTTGGATATTCTTGTCGGAACTTCGTTTGGCTTATTCTACGCCATGGACCATCGTGGTAAGACCTCTTGTAACTTCCTGCTGTCTGTCTTATTTACATTGAATCCACTAGTCTCATTACAGATTTTGTTACACTCTTGCAAGTCTCAGTGTTGAGTTGAATTCTAAGATTGTTGTCTTCTTGCAGGTAACATCAGAGAAAAATTCCCACTTGAAATGGCTGAAATTCAAGGGGCAGTGGTTGCAGCTGATATAAACGACGATGGAAAGATTGAACTTGTAACAACTGATTCCCACGGAAATGTAGCAGCATGGACCACACAAGGAGTTGAAATTTGGGAAGTGCATCTAAAGAGTCTTGTTCCCCAGGTAAATAGTTATCTTCGTTTATTCTCATCTAGTGTAGAACTGTCTTGTGAATGAACACTTGTAGGAACATCAAAACGATTCTAACTGTTGATCATAGTGCATACGATCTTTCATAGGATCGTTTATGGTTACTTTAAGTTGTGTGTAATATTCTCTTCGCAATCAGCGGCTGATACCAATCTTCTCTTTCAGGGTCCTTCAATAGGCGATGTTGATGGTGATGGACATACTGATGTTGTGGTTCCTACAACATCAGGAAACATTTACGTTCTTAGTGGCAAGGATGGTTCAATTGTCCGTCCTTACCCGTACAGAACTCATGGAAGAGTGATGAACCAACTTCTTCTTGTTGATCTGAACAAGCGAGGTGAGAAAAAGAAGGGACTCACCATTGTTACCACATCCTTTGACGGCTACATGTATCTCATAGATGGACCCACTTCATGCACTGACGTTGTTGATATTGGTGAAACTTCGTAAGTCATTTACTTCCTTGCGGCACATTAATATTTTTTTAGTAGTTTCGCTTTTTTCCAGTGGATTTTGATGGCAAAGATGTTTCATGTTACAGATACAGCATGGTCTTGGCTGATAATGTTGACGGTGGAGATGACCTTGATCTCATTGTCTCAACTATGAACGGAAACGTATTTTGCTTCTCTACACCTTCTCCTCACCATCCCCTCAAGGCAAGATCAAATTTCAACATTTTCATGTGTCTTTTATTAATGTGAGAGATTATTTATTTCATACTTGGGTCTTAAATTCATCAGGCGTGGAGATCAACTGATCAAGGAAGGAACAACAAGGCAAACCGTTACGGTCGTGAAGGTGTTTTTGTCACGCATTCAACCAGAGGTTTCCGCGATGAAGAAGGCAAAAACTTCTGGGCTGAGATCGAAATTGTTGATAACTACAGATACCCATCTGGTTCACAAGCACCCTACAACGTTACAGTAAGTTCTTTATAGATAAGACTATTAGCAATTGCTTCTTTGAGACTAAAGTACATCCATTTTCAAATGTACAGACGACGTTGTTGGTACCAGGCAACTACCAAGGAGACAGGAGGATAACACAGAGCCAAATCTATGACCGACCGGGAAAATACAGAATAAAACTACCAACAGTTGGAGTGAGGACAACAGGGACCGTAATGGTGGAGATGGTAGACAAGAACGGACTCCATTTCTCAGACGAATTCTCTCTAACGTTCCATATGTATTACTACAAGCTACTTAAATGGCTGCTTGTCCTCCCTATGCTCGGCATGTTCGGTCTGCTCGTGATACTACGGCCTCAAGAAGCTGTTCCCCTCCCATCCTTTTCCCGCAACACAGACTTATGATGTAAGGTACCATGAGGATCCATAGACAAGTTTTGAGGTTTTGTATCTTTTGAAAAAAAAGTTATGTAATTCGACTTTTAGTTAATAGTAAATAATGATGCCATTTAATGTATAAGTCTAAGTTCAAACGCAGAACGAATAAAAGGGTAGCCAAACACGCCCTAAAAGACAAAACGCAAAACAGTTGTTTGATCACGAGGGCTGCAACAATGGTCTCTTACCAAGCCTCTTCAACTCCCTCTCCATGTTTCCCGTTAGCATAAGACTAAACATCTTGAGATCGCATAGAAACGACCAAACCGGGTGTCCGAAGCTCGCGGGAACATTCCCTTCCACGAAGAAGTGGCTGTACCACGCGAAACCGTACCCAAACAGAGGCGCCAGAGCCAGAAACCATCGGCTGATCAGAACCGAACACAGCAAAGCCACGATGCTCGCGATTATCCCCGTGAAGTGCCATCTTCTCGTTGATGGATTCGAGTGTTGCGTCACGTAGAAAGGCCAGAACTCCTCAAAGCTTCTGAAATTCATCTTTCTCCGAGAAGATCGTTTTCGATTGCTCTCGAGCTTTCCTCCTGCTTGTTTGGTAAGCGAGAGATAGATTTTTAAGAAAGACGAAACGTAAACCAGTTGACCATAATTAAAACCAAAATTCTATGGGCCTTTAAAGGCCCACAACATAGTGGGCTTTCTCGACACAAATTTTCCTTAAACGTCCCATATTAGAATGGGCTTTTATAAAATTAGGTGAAATTAATCTATACTATTAAAGCTGAAGTACAAAAATGAAGTGTTTGGAAACATGAATAACAAAATTTTAAAAATTTGATTGGAAACATGGATAACATATAAACTTAATGGGCTTATTTATTAAATTAAAGATTACTGCGGCCCAAAATATCATTATTATTGTTTTTTGGGTTTTCTATCATTGATATTACTTTATTTCTGAAAATTATTTATACATATATGTATTCATGTTTTAAATTTATTTAAAATAAATCAAGAATAATATTTATTTTATTTATATAATTTATATTGACTATTGTTATAAGTTTTTAACAGTGATATACTAGCTTTCCAATTCTTCATTAAAAAATTAACTTCAAAAATTTAACTAAATTATTTAGTGTATATAATTTTACACCAAATTTAACCCAAATTTTTTTTTATAAACTATTACTAAAATGTTTACGGGTCACAACATTTTACCGACGCCCCTGTTACACAATACAGTGATGAAATACGATGTTTAAACAATATACTATTACTTAGTAAAATTGGAAGCATTAAATTGTAATTTTTAAAATGTTTATATATACCATAGAAACAAATACCCGCCCAGTCGGGCGGGTTTTGATCTAGTTTATACTATTAAAGCTGAAGTACAAAAAGTTAAGTGTTTGGAAACATGAATAAGAAATATTTAAAATTATAGTGATTGGAAACAATGATAACCTACAAACCTAATGGGCTTTATTTATTAAACTAAAGATTAATGTGGTCCAAAGTATCATTATTATTGATTTTGGGTTTTTTATCATTAATATTACTTTATTTTTCTGAAAATTATTTTTACATATATATACTCGTGTTTTAAATTTATTTAGAATAAATCAAAAATAATATATATTTTATTTATATAATTTATATTGACTATTATTATAAGTTTTTAACAGTGATATACTTGTTTTCTAATTCTTCATTGAAAAATTAACTTAAAAATTTGACTAAATTGTTTCGTGTATATAACTTTGTACCAAATTTAGCAAAAAAAACCTAATAAACTATTACTAAAATATTAAACGGGTCACAATATTATACCGACGCTCTGTTATACAATACAATGATGAAATACAATATTTAAACAGTATATTATTACTTAGTAAAATTGGAACCATTAGATTGAACTTTTTGAAATGTTTATATATACCTTAAAAATAAAGACACGTCCAGTCGGGCGGTTATGATCTAGTTTAATTTTATAACGGAAGATTTTTAAATTTTGAAAAGAAAAAAAACACAATCAATTTACAAATTGTTTTCCCTCCTATATACAATACAGTAACGACAATCCCCAATCAAATCGAAAAAATCTGAAATCCCTAGGATTTTACCATCTCCCTCTCTCGCTCGCTAGGGTTTGTTGTTCACTAATCAAAATGAAGTTGAGCCAGAAACTAAAGAAGCCTTGTTCATCAGCTAAGGTACTACCTCTTAATCAATCACTAGCACTACAAAATCTCGACGCGAATGCATTTAATTATATAATTTACCCTAAAAATAACTCGAATTGATTTTGTGTTTGTAGCTGATGCTGCAAGAGATAATCGGTTTAACTACAAAGAACGCCAACGGTTTAGCTTCTGTATCCTGCACCTCGAAATGCGTGTACTTAGCGGGGTGTGTTGTGGTGGTCTATGACGTCGACACGTGCACTCAATCACACCTTGTTGTATCTCACCGTATGCCTAAGGCTTTGAGCTGTGTGGCGGTTTCGCACAATGGGCGGTTCGTAGCTGCTGGAGAGGTATGATAAATTTATAAATGCATTTTATTTAAGATTATATGATGTCTTTTGGTGTATTGATTGGTGTTTATGGTGTTTGAATCAGTCTTCGAATCTCTCTTCGGTTTTGATATGGGACTGTGATACTTTGGGGTTTGTGAATGAGCTTAAAGGACATCTTTATGGAGCTCAGTGTCTTTCCTTTTCACCAAATGGTTAGTCTTTTAAGGATCTTATCCTTTTTATTTTTCTCTTAGTTGATTAGTTTTTTTTTTTTTTTTTTAAGAATTTTAAATTTTATTCAACAAAAAAAAAACATTGTTGCACAACAAGAGCATCAGCTATAGATTGGGACAAACCAATCCAAATGAGACAAAAGAAGAAAACCAAAGAGAAACTCAACCATCAAAACACCTCCCCTCAATTTAACCATGTGAAACAAGTTAGAATTGGAAGGACAATAAGATTATCCTCATTAAAACCTCTCCAAAGTAAACCCAAATGGGATAAACCTTTAAAGAGGAAAGAGTAATAATCTTATGGCCAGGAAGGTGTAAAGATGTGATTAGTCTCAGCTTTGTATAATGCATTTATTTAATTTGGGATTTAGGGGAATATCTGGTGAGTGTTGGAGGATATATATATCTTTGGGACTGGCGTAAAAGCGTCTTATTAGCGAAGGTCAAAGCGAGTTCTATTTGCTCTGATGTTACGTCTGTGGCATTCTCGTCCAATGGGAAGTTTGTTGTTACTTGCGGGAACAAGCATTTGAAGTACTGGACAGTTGGTTCTTTTCAGAGGACACGTTCAAACAAAGTAGGGTCTTTGGCTTTTCATGGAAAGGCAACTGAAGGTGGGTTTCAGAAAGGAAACTCGTTTGTGTCAGTGATATCAGCCAACAGAGTGGGCTCTAGTGGAAGTGACGAACGAGGGGAAGAAATTATGTCAATATACGCTCTTACAGAAGCAGGTCTTTGCTCCACTACTTTACATCTGTGTCTATGAATATGTGGTTTTGTACACTCATCTCATGGGACAGTTTTTAAATTTTATTTCGGTTGCGTAGGTGTTTTGATGCTCATGAGTTGTGAGATGTTGATCAAGAAATCAGTGGATCTGAAGGTGCAATAATTTAATTTCACAGTACCATTTAGATATGCATATAATTCATTTACCATAGTCCAGAATCATTGACTGTATTATTCGTATGAGCCTAGCAATAAGTTTAGTGTACTTATATGCGTTAAGTGACTCTAGGCGTGCAGACAGCATTTGTTCATGTTAGTTTATGGGACTTCATTTTTTGTCATAATGATAATTCTTTAAATTGCTTGCATTGAACTGTCAGGTTGAAAAATGTTTTGCTCTATCTACATCCAATAGATTGATAGCATGCGCTTGCAGCGAGGGAGCGATCCAGCTATTTACTCCTGAAACTTTAGAATATGCTGCCACAATACACTTTTCAGATGCTAGAAAGAGCGACACTGAAAATCATTCTCATTCAGAAGAACTAAAAAATACAGAATCTCAGCCTGTTATCTATCCGGACGCAGTTGCTTGCCAGTTTTCGACCACAGATAAGCTCGGTTAGTTTAAAAGAACATCATAATAGCAGTATGATGCTTTTACCAATCTTCATTGTGACTAAGTTGGACTTTTTGGTTTCACAGTTGTCATCTATGGGGATCATAGCCTCTATGTTTGGGATGTGAATGATGTGAACAAGGTAATTATAAATCTATGTCAGTATTTTCCACGGAAAGCTAGTTAAGAGTGATGTTCTTTCTGGCGCCAGAACTACTTCTGATGTTTCATGTTAAAGCTTTGAATACAACTGCTTATGGTATAACTTTTTTCCTTATTCCAGCCTACGAGGTGCTCTTTGATGATATCACATTCTGCCGGAATTTGGGATATAAAAAACCTCTCTTGCGGAAATTTGCACAATCCAACAGCTGCATGTGTAGCAAGAGGATGCTGTGAAGGGGTTTCCTTCACTACATGTTCTGAAGATGGAACCATAAGGCTATGGGATCTTGATCTTCAAATGGATCCGTTACAAGCCAATTCAAGCAGCAATGCCTCAGAATCTGAAACACAAGGGACTATGCATTTAGGTAATTATCACATATGCTCGGAATTAGAAAAAATAGTTTTGAACATCTGATGTGGTTATTTACGTTCTTAGATTGTTTATCACATTGGCTTGGTCATTTCACACATAATGTCCTTACGATGCAGCAAGTGCTGGAATTTTCGAACGTGATCTTGTTGAGACATGTGGAACTACGTATGGTTTCCGAGCACTAGCAGTAAGTGAAGATGGAAAGTACTTAGCAGCTGGTGACTGTGGAGGGAACCTTCATATATATGATCTACAAGAATCAGAATATACTTGCTTTACGGTAGTATTAGTGTTCAAAACTTATTGGCTGTGTTTCTTCAGTGGTTGGTGTCCAGACATGTTCATATGCCTCTATTGGTAAACATATTGCAGGATGCTCAAGAAGCAGAAATTCAGTCACTGAGCTTTAGCATTCCTGGACTGAAAGATGTTAATTGTGAAAATGCCTCAAGCAGCGATTTCTTGCTTGCTTCTGGTGGAAAGGGCGGAGGGATCCACGTTTATGATGTCAAAAGGTGTTAAAACAACAGCTTTACTATGCTCTTTTTGCTCCCCTAAAAGGCACTACGAACTTATATGTTCTTATTTTCAGGAACTTTGATCCCGTTGGGAGTGTTTGTGGTTCAGCTGCTATAAAATCTGTTAAATTCTCATGTAACGGCCGGAAAATTCTAACTTCTGGTGCAGATAAGTAATGTTCTATATGCTCAGAACTGCAAATTTATTTATAGCGAATATGTGGCATAATTGTTGATATTGTTGCAGGCTGCAGTTTTTTGACGTTGTCAGAAAAGAAAGTCATGTGCGTCTTTCACCTTCTAAATCTCAAATTCTGTCTCATGGAACCATCCATGATATAGCTATAGATCCAACATCAGGACTTGCTGTTACAGTAGGACAGGTACTGCTACCTCTCGATGTCTCATGCACATTCAGTCGATTAATCATGCACCTAGTATATGACTAAACAAGCCTCTGATGTATTATCTCGTGATTGCAGGATAAGAAGATAAATATATTCGACATAGAAAGTGGAAAGCTTGTCAGATCACTCAAGCAAAACAGAGACCATGGAGATGCCATAAAGGTGCTTTTATCCAACAGTTTGATAGGGCTTGAAAATTGTTAAAATTTTCTAGTGCTGACAACAAAATCTCCTCCACAGGTTATTTTTGACCCAAGCTGCAGCTACTTGGCATGCTCCTACTCTGACAGGACAATCTGCCTTTTGGACTTTGTTACAGGAGAGTTGGTTGCTCAGGCCACAGGACACAGTGAAGCCGTGACTGGTGTTATTTTCCTTCCTGATTGCAAACATATCATTTCAGTAAGATTCTAAGTTGTAGTTTTTTGTTATTGTACAAGCGTAAATAATTTTTGCTTTTGATCAAGTCAAGATCAATGACTCATTCCTATTGAATTCAACTGTAAGAGAGCTTTCTGTGATAAAACCTGGATCTATCTTGGTGTGACTCAACTGAAAATGAACAACTGAGATCCAATTTTTTCTACTAAATTTCCTTTGGTATTTATCGACAGGTTGCAGGTGATGGCTGTATTTTTGTCTGGAAACTGCCCTTGCGAATGGTTACTCGTATGATACGGGCAGTAAATGAAAATGGCAGATTAGCTCCTATAACTGTGGCCCAGCCGGTAAAGTTTATGCAGATTGTGGGTTATGTGGAGGAAGACAATCAAAATGCAGATCAAATGCTGCAACTCTCTCCATGGACATCTTCATTTAAGTTCAGTGTCTCTAGACTTCCTAAGTGGGCTCAAGCTAAAGTTGAAACATATGGCATTGCTACCACTTGTAAGGATTCCATTTCAAATCAGGTATAAACCCAAAAAAACACATTTTGGATCCAAAAACTCAGCCAAAGGCTTCCAGTTCGTCTGATATTGGGTGCTCTTATTGCCTCCACAACAGAAACATGAAGATAAATCTCTAGTGAATGCTGTTGACATTGCTGAAGAATGCTCTTCGAATCTTGAATGCCAAACTCCCAAGCAAAGTTCAAGAACCGAAAAGCCATGCCTTGGGAGCCTGTCCAAACGCTCCAGCGACAGTGAAACTTCAGTGCCACAAGGAGATGCTCCTAGGTAACAAGCTCTACTTTGTTTCTATTCGTTACTGCATCATTCTTCTCTCTATCTCTCTCCCTGCTTTAAGGAGAACCATTTTAATTGTTTAAACTTTTGTTCTGGACAGCCACAGAAAGGAAACCCGCTGGAACACTATCTACAACGTGTGTTTAGATCTTATAAATTCTCCGAACATCCAAACATATTCCATTAAACACCAGAAACCAGAAAATTTCTGCATCAAACCTTCTGCCGAGCAGGGGGACATGTTCAAGCAGTTCGACAACAGTTTGTCAATGATAGACGAGGTAGAGCTCTCTTCACTATTCCTTCTGACATGCTTAAGTTACCAAGAGATATCTTTATGGCCACAATTTATGTTTACTTTATCCACAGTTGGAGGTCGAGAAAACATCGCAGCAAAGAAGATATTCTACCCAATTTGTTCTTAGAAAGGACTACATTGGTGGAACCAGACAATTTCTGCGTACACCCTCCCAGAAATCAGGGTACAAGACTTTGAGGTCGATCCAAGAACATCTCCCTCTTGATACGGTGAATGATCAATCTTCACAGAGCTCACAAGAACATCCTGAACAGGTTTCACCAAGTTATATATTGACACATTATTGCATATTCATATGCTTAAAATCACTCAGAGATGCAGAAACTTTCCAGCAATGATGCCAAGTGCCAACGTTATGTTCGTGTATATGTAGAAACTGAACATGTGATTTTATGTTTTGTTTAATGTTCTGCCGCAGGACAAGGCCTCTTCAGAAGTATTCCATGATACCCTTGCAGACGATTCACTTCAAGAAAGAATAACTTCTTGCCGTCAAGCATTGCAGGGCTTGAAATCTGCTGCTTCGGTTTTTATCCAGTCAATGTCGGAATTATCTACAGCTTCTCCAAGAGATAGAATCTCAGGTGAACTCAGAGCCCAGTTGTTTGATGAAGCAGCTTTGATGATACCAGAAATGTCTCAGAAAGTTAACGAAGTTGTGACCAAGATGATGCTTGAGCACAAAAGTAGAACACAAACGGACGGATAACATGTCACCGGTTAGTTCAAAATCAGTAGTAAAAAGATTTTATACTTGAGCACTGTACAGTTTATGCATCTTACAAATTCAATAAATAATGGGTTTGTACCACTTGTGTGGTCTATGTCATGTCTCTCATTCATTCCTTCTTGTTTCCCTTACCATTATCTTCTCCTTCTTCTGATAACAATGTCTGCTCATACACGAACTGAGTAAGCAGTGCAACAAGAATAGCTCCAAGAACCGCAACTTTTCTCCAATCAGGTGAAGAAACAAACGAATCAGCAATTGCGACAACCAAAATCCCAATTAAACCGAGGTAAATGTTCCTTCTTGACTTTGATCCTGCACTTACTTTAGTAACTTCTTGTATTCGCTTTGTTTCTTCTTTAGCTTTCTCTATATCCACAGGCTTTTTATCACGTAAGCTCTTGAAGAACAATCCTTCGTTCCTGCCTTCCACTATCTCCTCCTCAAACTCAGCCAACTTATTATCATTCTCCTCTATCTCCAACCTGTTTAATCCAGCAGATTCCTCAAATGCTTGCATCTTGCTCTCTATGTTCTCTAATATCTACTCAGAAAATGAAAAAAAAAAAAAACAATATCAGCTTAAATATATTTAAAAAAGAAGAAAATTTATATGAATGAAGGCAATACTCTTGAGCTAGCTTCGTCGAGGTCTTTCATGGCGTCTTCACCAACCTTGTCAAACTCAGCGTTGGCTTCTTCAGCAAACTTGGTGAGGTAATCTGAACGTTCGTCCAAGAAATCAGTTAAACGGACTTTCGATGTCTGAAGCATGGCGATCCTGGCTAAGAGTTCTTGTCTCCTAGTATCTCCTTCTGGTTTTGGAGGGGCTTGGTCAGAATCTGAAGTTCCATCTCCGGTGGATTTCGAGAGACAGATGAATTGAGTTCTGGAAATGGAATGTTTTGAGGCGTTGGACAGAACATGGAAGTTTGGTGTTAAAGCTGTCCTAAAAGCTTGAAGTGTGTTCATCATCATCGGCTCGTTACAGAGTAACCACCTTTCGTTAGTTTAAGCATTATCCATAACTAGTTTTTGAGTTTTTAAAGTATTTACACAAAAGACCCTGTTTTAACGGATTATTATAGTAAGAGTTTCTACTTGGTCTGATTTAACGGTTTGGTGTTTCAGATGATAATATTAAACCGGTTAAGGGTCTGAATGTCTGATCATTCTTACTCCAGAGTTTGAGAAGAAAAAAAAAACATATTTCAATATGTACAATTCCATTCCTAACTTTTCATATACGAGTAAACATACCATACTTTATTCAACCTTAACAACTAACAAATTCAAATACAACACATGAACTTTAATTTTTAGTGTTTTAATCTGAGCTGCTCTCAAGATGATTCCTAGTAATCAAGTGATTAGGGAGGAAACAATTAGAAGGTCTGAGAACTTACTGATAACATTTTGTATGCATTATAGACTTATAGTATCTGCTTTCCTCTATGGCCCCTATTGTTAGTGGCCCATGCTGAGGTTAATTCCATATTACATCAGTTCCCTGTGCTTCTCTTCTCAGTTAAGCGACATAGAAGCAAGTGGCAACTGATGACACATGTTAATGTTGTGTGCATGCCCGACCCTGAAAAATTAAATAAAAACAAAGACCAGAAGCTTCCCACAAAAAAAGGCCATAGGTGGGATTTGAACTTACTACCTATAGAAGAAGCACCTACTATTTAACCATCTGAACTATAAAAACTTTTGGGAAAAAAAGCCGAAAACTTTATTTTATTTTAAGGGCCGGAAGCAGATGTTTGTAATGCTTCTACCCAGGGCCGTTACTGGTTGTGTGTTTCTAGACATTTGATATGTATGACGAGATGACTGAACAAAATACTTTCTTTTATTCAGTTCACTTTCCCACGTTGGTATGTTGCAATAACCTTCAAAGTGAGAAGAAGTCAAAGTGGGTCCTGAATCTTGTACAAGGTAAAGAACGATGTTACATATGTGACAGTGTAAATGCAGAACCTGTCGTAATCCAAAGAGATATGGAACAGCAAGAACTAGTTAAAATTTCGCAAGATCAATAAAGTTTTTATGTCTTCTTTTTATAGTGATTGCGAACCAGTAAATTACTTGATTAATGTTCTAATAATGTGAACTCATCCCTTATAATCCAACAAAGATTATTTTTTAAGAAATACTCGTTGCAATTGTCGGCTGACGCGGTTGCTTTGATATTTTTTTGATATAGTTCAAAGTTTGAACCGTTCAAATCAGTTGAATTTCGTGGAAGACGTATAACAATTTTTTTTTGCTAAATATATCAATTAATGTACACATGTAGTATACTCTCTTATACATAGAAAAAATTTGTAGACGATCTAAGATAAAGAGTCCAAACACTAAAATCCATTTTCATAGATAAACTTGTGTATTTGTACAATTATAAAGTAGATAAATGAATTAAAATATTGGAAATAAAAGAGTTGCAGAAGAAGTATTCAAATAGAAATTTGAGTTGTAAGTTTCAGTTTTGAGTGTGGTTGTTGAACTGACCCCTCTATTTTATCTCTTTACATTTTCATACCCAAAGTTTTTTTATTATGTTATACACCTTTCCTATAAATTGTCTTTAAAGTCTCCCATTAGCTTCTATTTTACTGTTTTGCTCTCTCTCTCTCTCTCTTAACATATTTTTTTTTAAAAAGCAAAACCATTTGTGCTAGTGAAGAAACGTTTTCTCTCTGTCAAAAATGTCACGAAAAACATGCAAACGAGTAAGTTTTTGTCCGAACCCTGAAGCCACAGATGAACCTATATTCCCTAAACATCACGACCGGAGAAAGGTGGTCCTGATCGGATTTCTCAGTTGCGGTCTAAGGAGCTCGCCTGCCGCGAGGAAGCTGATGCGACGTATAGGAGCTAGTTTCGCTAGAACGCTGCGTTCTATGTCCTTGAGGAGGAATACGACCGATAAAACATCGTCAACGGTATTGCTGTCTTCGTCGTCTGCTTCCTCTTCATCGACTATTTATATGAAAAGGTCAAAGTCTCTAGCTGAGTCGGAGTCTCACAGAGCAGAAGCTATTGAAGACTGCATTAAGTTCTTGAACTCTTCTTTTCCTCTGACAAGATCAAACTCTGTCCCAACTTGGTCTTCTTGATTTGAACCGGGTTTGGATTTGGATCGGTTCAATAGAACTCCTCTCTTTTCTGTTGTTGTGGTGTTAAAAGAGTTGAACATTGTATAGGTGTGCTTTATTTATTTTTTTCTTTAAAGTCACAAAAAAAAAGATTATGAGTTTTGATTAGAAAGACAATAATTCTTGATCATATTATCTACCATTCATCTTGCAAAACTTTTAGCGAAAGAAAAGAATTCAGTGCAGACCATAGATTAAGGTTTAATTATGGGGAAGAAATAGTTAGAAAGTTAGACTAAATTTATATGTTTCTAATATTTACATTGTATTAAGCCATTAATATGATTAAATTTCATGAACCTGGAATATAGTTAGTTTCTTAAAATTTAATGACAAAAGAAAAAGAGGGAAGCAAGGTTTAAAAATCAAAAAGAGCGTCGACATCAAAGGACCAAAGACAAGAAAGCTCATGGGAAATCCCCACTTGTCTTTCTTCTTTTCTTGACCCCATTGATAATAATTCTTGTTCAACAAAAAATAACAAGAGAAAAATTCCAAGAAATTTCTTAAAAGAAGGATTTAATGATTCAACAAAAGAGAAAAGAAACACACGATTTATTTTCATCATAAGATACTTTTAGCATTTTGGAAAATGTAGGTCCAGAAAAACTGACCTAATAAGAACAAAACGTATCAATAGTATCTAAAGAATCCAAGGGAAAAAGCTTACACCTTTAAAAAATGTGCTCATCTCCTCTCAAGACAAAGACCTTGTGTGAGAAGTGGAGTGCACTACCAGAAGTTGCAACAAAAGGTTTTATAACATTGGCAAGAAAGAAAAAGACATTAAGAAATATTCTCTGTCTTGTTCAAAAAGGTAAAACATTTCATGAGTAAAGAGAGCATTAGGTTGAGTAGGTTGAGAAAGACAAAGGAGTAGTTGAATCTTAGCTATTATCTATACAAGTCTAAAAGATGTACATATAGCCATAATGCTGACACGATATTGTTTTCTTTATATCTAAAGAATAATGTGCTTAATGGGTAAAAATTAATGTGCTTAGTATTTTTTACACCACGAGGGCTTCTAACCTAATTAAAGCATGCATTTCAGTTTTATTCACTATATTTTTATATCTAAAATAACCCAATCAACCGAAACTGAATTAAAAATCGAACAGGTATCCAAAAATATTATATCAATTATATACATATAATATAACTAAATATATATTTATAATTTAAAAATCTATAAAAATATCAAAATTAATAGAAGAAAACTAAATTATTATAAAGTATCTAAACTATTCCAGATATTTTTATCTTAAATATTCAAAGTAATCAAATATCTAAGATTTTTATCCAAAATACATGATATTTAACACACATTATTCGAATTACCAGATCTAACTGAACTTGAACCGAAAACCAAATGAGAATCGATTCCCCTCCTGATATTTTATGGTTCCTAATTTTATTATCTGAACCGAACCCGAATTAAAAAATAGGTTAAATAGTAAATAAATTCTCTAACCCCCTATTCGATACTTAAAATACCCGAACCGATACTCGAAATGCCCAGTACTTCAAGCAACATAATCTTTTTATGTTGTCTAGAATAGGATTCAATTATCGTAATAGTTTGAATCTTGATGTTGCTCGTCATCCTATCCAGGTTTTCTCCCAAGTAACAAAACCTTTTCATGTGTAGTCGATCACTCTTCTTCCCCGCTATAAATGGGCCTCCAATCATTATTGGATTATTTATCAGCCCAAACGGGAAAATGAGGTTTAGAACATTAATTACAGATTTACAGTTAACAAACTATTCTACAATGTAATGAACTTACAAAGCCAAACAAAGTATTAATGAATGATACAGAGATATTCTCACAGATCACACAATGATCTGAAACAATCATGCGAGTCTCATGAGGTTTGAGAGGTTCTGAGCTAAAGAGATCTTTCCAGGCCGATGAATCTCCTCAAGTAAGGAGTTATATAGCTATAACTCTGTAACCAAGATCAAAAAGCGGTTTCAAAATTCTAAACCCCAGAGAATCCATTGTTGATGATAAAATGATCAAACAACCTTGCTGTAATGAACTTACAAGCTCTTCTACAATGTAATGAACTTATTGTCAGTTACAGTTAACAAGCTCTTCTACAATGTAATGAACTTACAAAATATAACAAGTACTATGATACTGAGACATTCTCACAGATCACACAATGATCTGAAACAATTTTATCCATGGCACTACCTTGTTCAATAACAAATTTACTACTAAACTTATTCCACAAATGCAACCCATAGCCTCTCCTCTGCATCTCAAGAACCTTGACTTTAACTCTCTTCAAGTCCTTCTCTGTTCTTGGAACCTTGAAAAGCTTCTCAATCTCAACCCAATTAACCGAATAAAACGTTGAAGGTCTCATGATAGTGAAGTTATATCCCTCGGTTCCTTCCACAGACCGAGCCACTCTAGAAACAAGGTACGGTCCGTTATGACCCCAAACGTTCCCATTAAAAGTCAACGCGAATTCTTGAATACATTTTAGCAAGAGAGGATGGTTCTTGTCGAATATCAAAACCGCATTGTTTAACCTCGTCCAGTTTCTTGAAACCGATTCAAGAGTCTGTGCACCGATCACGTTCCTTAAGTGTTTGAAACTCTTTAGAACAATCATGTCGGTGTCTAGATAAACACCTCCGAATTTGAACAAGTACGCGAGTCTCATGAGGTTTGAGAGGTTCTGAGCTAAAGAGATCTTTCCAGGATCTCTTTTTCCTGTCTGAATCTCCTCAAGCCATGATTCTCCCGCCGTGTCTTTGAGCAGAAAAGGTAAGTCAGGAGTTATAGCGATAACTCTGTAACCACGATCAAGAAACGGTTTCAAGATTCTAAACCCTAGAGGAGAATCCATCGTTGAAGACAAAATGATCAAGCAACCTTTAGGATGAGACTTAAACACGCTTTCTACGGACAAAACTTCTCTCTTACCGAACATAACCGCAGGAGAGATCCACGTCATCATGAAGTTGACTTTACAATCATCTCTCAGAAACTCTATTACTCTCTGTTGAAACTTCTCCGACACGTCTCTACCTCCAAAAACCTCGAGAACGTGAAGATTGTTACTCTCCGTGACTGTGATCGTATAGTTACTTTGCTCTTTCTCTGACCTAAGAGGTAAGTAAGGAACAACTGTCTTGATCTCTATTGTCACAACCTGGGAGAAGTCTCTAACAAGTACATGAGAGACGATGAGAATCGTGAAAACGATGAGAGATATAACTGAGGAAGCAAACGCTGTGAACAGTGAGGATCGAGAGCGGTTTAACCGCCGGTGATTAAACATCGCGGTGACTTTCTTGGCGATTACGTTATCCATATATTTTTTTTTGGTAGGGAAAATGAAGTTAGGGGAAGAACTCAGTTTGTGGAGTCTGTGTTTTTTTTTGTTTTCTTATAGTTTGTTAGTATGTTTTTTTTTTTTTTTTTGCTTGTGGTTGAAGATGTCATGTTTGAAAAGTTCTTTAAGCCGCCGAGGAACGTAGACTTCAGTGTGTTGTAATTATTGATTACTTATCGTTATTTGATTGATTAAATTATTGGGGACCATAGGTTTATACAAACGACCATGATTTCTCCATACTTTTATAGGGGCTCAATCTTTTCGATGACTTTTTTTCATCATCGGTTTGAGCTCGGTTTAGGTATAGATTCAGCTTAAAATGAGCTTACTATCAAAAATTTACTCCCTCTGTTTTATATTAAGTGTCGTTGTAGAGAATTTTTTGTGTTACAAAATAAGTGTCGTTTTCGGTTTTCAATTTTTTGTGTTACAAAAATAAATGTCGTTTTCGGTTTTCAATTTTTTGTGTTACAAAAATTTACTCCCTCTGTTTTAATTTGTTTTTCTATTGGTTAAAATATGGTTATGTGTGTGGGTAATTGTGTTTTTATATAGGAAATGTGTAAAATTAATTGTTTCCTTAATCCGTGTGCATAGCTGTAGAGTGACACTTATATTAAAACAGAAGGAGTATTAGATAAGATATATTCAATGAAACCTCTATAAATTAATAATGTTGGGACTATACCAATTTTTTTTTTAATTAATTTAGAGAGATATTAATTTATCAATATACTTATCAAACCAAAAATTCAATTTAGAATTATAAAATTATATTATTTTATAGAGATATTTATTTATTTTTATTTTTTTTTACGTCGAAAAGCTTAGAGATATTTATTGTATATTAATTTATCGAATATTAATTTATAGAGGTTTTCCTGTAGTTACTAAAAGTTATAGTTTCCATTTGATTTATATCTTCTTGACTTTGATTTGGTTTTAGTTTTTAGGTACTGGTACTTTGCTTAGTTTTGTATTTATTGATTTAATGAATATGGATAAATACATTATCCATTATTTTGTGTCTAATCGTTTCTTTATTTACATGTTGAGGGTTTTTGAATAATACTTTCTAGTTGTTCTTCTAAGGACAAAAGCAATTGTTAATATTTCTTTTGATATGGTCTTAACATTATACTAGACAATAATCCTTGTTAATTATTAGGGCCGTCTTTGGTGGAATCTTTATACTCCCGGACGATTAACGCTTATATATATGTGTGTTGAATTAGCAATTTCATTGTTTGAGATAAACAGTGAGGTCTATGTTCTAGATGTGTGAGACACTTTCCTATTATTTGATTTCTTATGTCTAATTGTTTACTTAAGAAAATAATTCGTCTAATCCATCATTCATAATTTGAATCTTCCTGGACACAGTAATTAATTTGGAAATCAAAGGCAAGAAAATAAAGATTTGAATAAGTCCACCTACATATTTCATCCACACAACGTCTCTCACTGTTAAGATATGGGAAGCATCTTGACTTTAACGATTTTGAAAGCAGCGTTAGGTACATACAAAATGTTCCTAGTATTATACTTATTTTATATGATACGTATCTCATTATTGATATGGTTGTTCCTAGTATTATACTTTTAAATTTTTTTCAATTATCCATGTGCAAGAGAATGTTTACAAATCATACTCCATGCCAATTGTAATTTAAACACAGCTGGCCTTTTGGGCATATTGAAAATGTTCCGGATGGGACATCTTTGGTGTTTTATCCTAAACTATTGTTGAGTATAAGCTTCTGAACTAAAACACTTATTTTCTTACTATCTTAGCATCACACATAGAGCTTTTCTTGTGGTGCCTCATCAAGGGAAGACACTAGTTAAAGAAGCAAAGACTCATCAGCTTTTTTGTGGAGATGGCTTTTGAAAAGATCTTTTGCAAGACATTCAGTATGATCTCAATCAATTGGCTTCAGTTCATTGTTCAAATCATGATTTCTTATTTCTGGTTAGGCCGGTTATTGGAGTAGACTAAGGTAAACCAAAATGGTTAGTCGCTATTATGTTCATAGCTACTTGCTATGTGTGATAGGACCACCTTGTCGAGTTGTGAGATTGATTCATCCATCATTATACACACTCTCTACAAACATTGTAGTGAATTTGTAAGAGTAGACCTAAGCTTATGCTTCTTGCAGTCCAAGCAACAAAATCTTCATTATGTTACCGAATTAATAATATATATTTCTCCTCATTTAAAGTGGACCATATGTATATAAAGATACTACTAATACATCAGAAGCTAATCAATATACTCAAGAATATAAATATAATCTGCTCTATCAACAGAAATAATCATCATCATCTAGGAGCCACCTCTGTAATACTCTGAAATGTAATAACAGAAGCCGAAGCCGCTGAACTTTTCCCTTTGTAACCTTGTGTTGTTGAGCTCTCATGTGAGGGACCACCTCTAAGACCAAGGCCACGATGGTTACGTCCCTTGTTGACACCTCTATAGACACCAGGCTCCGTTAAGGCTGCCTCGTTGAGGTTAATCTCTTTCCTGGTAAGCATCTCCACAACTTGCTTCATGTTTGGTCTCTTCTGTGCCGCGGCTTGAGTGCAGAACAGAGCCACCTTAATGAACCGTATCACTTCGTCTTGTGGAAACGTAGTTAGATCAGGATCCACACACTCTAGTAGCCTCCCTTCTTCTCTCAGCTTCCATACCTAACAAACCACATATTAACTATAAACACTTGATTGTTCCACAAAAAAAAAAAAACTATAAACACTTGATCACATCTACATGGTTATATTGTGTTAAGCAGGACCGACCTGATATTTTGGAGATGGTAAACATTTAATAAAGTTTTTGATAAAAAAAAGTTATTTATAAATTTGGGGGCTTATATATATGTTTTATTTTTTTCAAAAATATTGTGGTGTTAAGGTATTAGAGTTATAGAACTAGATCGGTCGTGAGATTTTGGAGGTCATACGATTTAATAAAACTTTTGATAAAAAAAATTATTTACAAATTTGGGGACTTATATTTATGTATCTGTTTTCAAATGTTTTGGGTGGTGTTAAGGTATTAGAGTTATAGAACTAGAACGGTCCTGGGATTTTGGAGACCGTAGACGATTTAATAAAATATTTTGATAAAAAATAATTAATTATAAATTTGGGGACTTATATATATATATTTGTTTTCAAAAATTTGGGTGGATTTAACGTATTAGAGTTATAGAACTAGACCGGTCCTGAGATTTTCGAGGCCGTAGACAATTTAATAAAACTTTCGATAAAAAAAATTATTTACAAATTTGGGGACTTATATTTATGTATTTTTTTTCAAAAAAATTGGGTGGTGTTAAGGCACTAGAATATATAGCTTTACCCATTCGACAAGAACCAAGAACTCGTCTGTAAAGGCAGCTCTGCTGCTACTACCACCACTAATGACTTCAAGCACAAGTATCCCAAAGCTGTAAACGTCTGCTTTTTTTGTTAACTGACCTAGAAGTGCGTATTCAGGAGCCAAGTATCCCCTGTAACCTCAGTTTCATCAGGCTGAAACTATCTTTTAGATTGAATTTATTACGTTAAATAAAAACGTTTTCTTACACTGTTCCAGCGACTCTGGTACTGACATGAGTTACATTGTCTGGAAAAAGCTTTGCCAACCCAAAATCTCCAATCTTGGGACAAAAGTTTTGGTCTAGTAAGATGTTACTCGCCTTGATGTCACGGTGAACAACCTGAGGTTCAACTTCCTCGTGCAAGAAAGCTAGACCAGAAGCTGTCCCAACGCAAATAGCAGCTCGTTTGGACCAATCTAATGGAACATACTTACTCCTCGAACCTAATAAAAAAAACACTCAAACAACATCAAGGAGACAGAGTGGGACATTGGTAGAGAAAACACAAAAAAAAACAAAACGTTACCGAGCAAGACACTAGAAAGACTGTTGTTCTCAAGGTACTCATAGACAAGAATCCTATTGTTCCCTTCGATGCAGCAGCCAATGAGTTTAACAAGGTTAGGATGATGAATGTTTGATATTAAGTTGATCTCGGTTAAGAACTCTCTTGTGCCTTGTTTAGATTCTGCTGAAAGTGATTTCACAGCTACTTGTGTTCCATCTCTCAATACTCCCTGCAAAGAAACATCAAACAAACATTAAGATTAAAGATTTTAAAGAGTATATATCCATCGTTTCTCACCTTGTAGACAACGCCAAAGCCACCACCACCAATTCTGGTAGACGGATGGAAATTATCTGTGGCTGATCTTAATGAGTTATATGAAAAGACTCTCACATTGTCGGTGCAGATCTCTAAATCATTTTAAAGAACCAAAAAGTGAGTAAAATCGATTTGGTCAACCTCAGATACAATAACTTGTACAAGAAGAAGCCAAAATCAAGAAAACGAAACTGAGATCGAATTTTTTGAAAACCCTAAAAGCAGTATGTATTTTATGGGAAGTGTTTGTGTGTATGTATACCTTCAGCTTCTTTGTGTCCAAGATGATCATTGCTTTTGCACATATCAAGAAGTCCAAAGCAATTAAAGGGCATCACAAACCCCCTCACAAAGAACAGAGGAAGCTCAAATCAAGAAACGGTTTTAAGAAAGAACAGAACTGAAATTTTCCGACAAGAACCTCAAGTTTGACCTGTCTCCTTGATACTGAATCTGGAAGAAGAAGAAGAAGAAGATGAAAAAAGTTTGCTTAGTGGGGAAAAGCCATATCGCACACGAAGAAAGACCAAAGATGTTAATCAAGGAGATATCATGAGTTTTGCTTTTGTCAACTTTTTCGTGAGGATGTCAATAAATTATAGTCAGTAAACCAAACCAGACCCTGATAGGGGACCTATGAACAGTGTCTATACGCTAAAAAGGTATTTCTGCAGTATTTGTTGTTTTTTTTTTTGTCAGGCTGCTGTGTTCTGATTAATGATGCTAGAAAATGAGGAAAAAACAAAAACTCTCGAAAGCGAGAGGTACACGACGACGAGACTATACAACTTTTTGGATGGTTTTACATCGTATGATGCGTTGTATAAAGTGACCATACATATACAGGTGCTACTTATTATTCTAAATTTTATCTTATTTTAACGTGTTAGGTATTGATATAACTATATACAAATTTAATAAATGAAAATAATTTTTAAACTAGAAAAATATCCTATTGCAAATTTTAGTAAAATGTTTAATTAATTAACATTAGAAAAATTGACCATTCTACTTATTATTTTATATATTTTATTATTTTAATGTGTTTGGTATTGATATAACTTTTTTTTTTGCTAATTCTGATATAACTATTTAAAAATTTGATAAACGAAAATAATTTTTAAACTAGAAACATAACCTAAGCTTTTGAATTATTTCATTTGGAAATTTTAGTAAAATGTTATTTAACTAATTAATTAAAAATTAGGACATTTGACATTTAGCCATTTTTCTCCCTAAAAAATGTAAGCTGTAAAGTGTAAGTAAGAAAAATGTTTAACTTTTTTAACTGAGTCGTACCATCTGTAGCGATTGTTAACATAAGAGTTGGATTAGGTGAAAAGTTAATGCTTGAGTACCAAACTACACACGGCGCATTAACTTCGACGTTGTTATTATTGTCGCCGTTCAGACTCTACCACGTGCATTTTTTTCTTTATCGGAAAAAAGTTGTCAACATTTTACGTTTTGGGAAAATTACAAATATAAAACGTCATCAAACTACCCTTTACTTTGGCCTCATCGTTACGTCAAAAATAGAATCACTCACTCATAGAATAATTTCAGAATTTTTTTTCTGTTTTCACCTTACGTTTTTCTTTTTATAATGTCTGTCAGTATGAAAACGAATTTTTAAGATAGCAAATGACGTCATCATTCCAAGAAACGCGGCTAGTATTTGCTATGTGCACCACACAAACAAAATTGCAAAGCAAAGTCCACCTTGTTGATAGAGACAAAAATATTTAAAAACAAATTTGACCAATCTTGATTCATTCTATTATATTTGTATTATTATCAAAAGTAATCATAATAATATTATAGTATTCACACGATTTTGGTGGAGTTTATGGCACGTAGACGTAACTACTTATAAGGTTTGGCTTGTTTGTTCTCTTAAACGTGAATACGACTTATTCTCACAAGTCACAATGACTTGTTCTTAATGACTTCTCACATTAACCAAACGAGACAAGTTATGGAGATGTTCCCTTATTTACCACTAGCAAGAGCCTATTTACATGTCTCTGCTTCAGACAACATTATGCTTAGTAAATGACATATGTAGTTGACTTTAACCTTGTTGTTGTTTTTGAATTACAAATGTAACCTGCAGCAAGCTGGTCTTTATATAGAATCCTCCAGGCTTCTCTGCAAGTAGTGGCTATTAGACACTCATCAAAATTCCATGAAGACTTAAACATGATCAAGAGTTGTTTTCAATACGTTTTAGTTTCTCTAGAAACACGTTATTTAAGTAATGGTAACAAAACAAGAACATAGGTTATAAAGTAACCTATTATATTTCATGAATAGCTTCTTTCGCTGAGAAGATCATCGTTTTCAGCATCATTCCCATCTAAGCACAAAATGTTCATGTTGTCCACACTCAGTTCTGATGAGCTCATCGTGCTGCTCGTAGCTACCGGAGAGTTCGTGTCACTAGTCGACCCACTTCTCACGCTGTACATTGATGACGCCGGAACTTTCGTCACCAGCGGCCGGAGATTTCCTGTCATGCCTCTTCTTATATCCTACACACACACGTAGAAACCATAAGTCATGTCTAACTATAAAAAGACTAAAACGAGATATTGTAAAGAGTGATCGTTACCATATGTCTTAAGGCCATATCGATGGAGCTCTTGGAGAGGTTTCTCCCATACCCAAGGCTGTTAAAAGCTGAGTTAGATTTCACAATTCCTCGACCACCGTTCTCTGTTAGCCTTGGTGGACCTAGTTTCCTCATGTTCACCACTCTCTCCACCATTTTATTTCCCATAGCCACAGGGCTAAAGCTATCGCAGCTACTACTCCCACCTTTGTTAGCCTTTCCTCGCCCACGTGCACCCGGGAGACTCCCGTTGGTGTTCCCAATAGGCGCTTGACGTCTGGACGGGGAGCAAGATTGCCTTCTTGCATGTCCAACGCTACCACTAGTGGAGCCACCAGTGCCGCGTTCTATGGAAGAAGATCTTGAGCCTGGTGCTGAGGCTACTCCAGGTCTGCCTCTTGAAGCTGAGACTGGCCTGTTTGGTAGAGTGGTCCTTAGGTTAGGTGGGGCATCTAAAGAGAAACCAGGCATCTCCGGCTTTGACGACTTCACAGTTGGAGTTGGAGAGGTCCCTCGAGAGGGAGCTTTACTCGAAGCTATTGATGGACCTGTAGGGGTTGAAGGCCTTGATAACGGTTTTTTAGAAGGTGCAGAAGACGGCTGGGTCTTAGACCGAGTAGGAGTAGCTGATCTAGCTGAACCGGTTGATGTTGTGGTGCGTTGAGCTGCTGTAGAGGTAGTAGTAGCACGTGCGGCAGTTAAGGTGGCACGTGAGGTGGGAGTTGAGGATCTAGAGGTTGAAGCTCTGGTGGTGGTCACAGGCCTTGTTGTTGAGGTGGTTGTAGTTGTAGACCTTCTGGTTGGTGTGGAAGGTCTACTCGTTGACCTATTGGTTGGTGTTGAAGGTCTACTCGTTGACCTTGAGCTACCTGATGAAGATGGTCTTCTAACTCCAGCTACAGAGGACGACGACATTTGGGGCTTATTATTGTTCTTTGTGATCATCTCTTCACCACAGTTCCCAAGCTGCAAAACCAAACAATGGTTTATAAAATTACAAATAACCAAAACAAATCTGTTGCGTCTAACAAAGTTCCATACCCGAGATTTGAGAACTGTGGGGCGAGAATTGGGAGCATCACTCTGATTCATTACGCTCCTATGTGACTCTTTCTCAAACTGTGGCGTGCCTGGAGGTGTAAGCAGCCTGAACAAGAGACAAAACAACAACAAAGATGATATAGATTATCAGACATTCAGACCAATGATGCATCAAATAAAGCAAGACCAAACATTAAGCTCAAATGATGGTAAAACAAGAATCTCTGGAAACTAACGCACATACTGTATATTGCAAAATCTTTTTAACTTCTATACTAACGTCGATATTATAGAGTGAGAAGATTACCAATCATAATCGGATTTCTCATTCTCTGAGTACAAGAAGTTCTCAGCGGCGGTTCTCCGGAGAGGATAACGTTGAGACGACACCGTTTCCGAGACACCAGAGAGAGCCGCGGACACAGCAGTCGTCAACGCTCCGTTCATACTAATATTATCAGATCCTAAAAGGAAACAGAACAAAATTCAAACACCATTGCCGAGACACAAATACATTCAAAATGATTAATCACGTTTACATATATAGAAAGAGTTTTATGTAAACGAGGACGAACCTGCTAAGAGAGATTCTCCTCTGTGTTCTTTCTCACGTCGACGCATCTCAAGGAACATTGAGAGTTCTTCATCTCTGTCGTGGTTCAACATTCTTGAAACCTGAGACTGAAGCTTTCTGGTTCTCGTGTCCGAACTTTTGTACCAGCAACTAAAAAAAGAATCGGACCAAACAGATCTAAGGAGATCACACTAAGAGGCCCCTCGAGAAACTAGAACAGCCACCAATGAGAATCATAGAAGCCATTAAATAACAGAAGATAAGAACCCCATAACGTTTTATAAACTAAAACACAAAGAAGAAAGTGGGCAAGATGTTCTTCTTGACGAGTTTGTTTTTTTTTAAAAATTATTGGTTTTATTTTTTTTTTAAATTACAGTTTCGAAACAGACAAGTCATTAGCTGTACCATCTCTCTTATTTAATTGAGTACGGTTTTGAAAGTTTGAAACAGAGTTTCGAAACATCAGTTTTAAAACCGCAGAGAATCTAGGAGCTCACCTGACACGTTGTGTAGTCTTATTTACCCATGAACATGATATTTAATTACGAAAAGGCCAGTACCCACTAGTGATCAAATCTAAGAAGACAAGACCAAACATCATTATTATTAGGGAAAATCGCATAAAAAACCTTTAAGGTGGCAACCACTTACACTTTAAACCCTGAGAGTATTTTATAAGCACTTTAAACATTCAAGTTGGCAAATTTAGCATATTAAACCTCCAATCTGGCTTACTTGTACATCAAGTTAAAAATGTGACCGGTACTGTTCAAAAGCGATGACGTGTCAGTTTTTTTTTTTTTTTTAAAAAAATTACGAAAAAAAAATATAAAAATACAGAAAATTTAAAAATTCATTAAAAAAGCATTAAAAATTCATTAAAAATTGAAAAAAAATCAAAAAAAATTCAAAAAAATCAGAAAAATCATAAACATTAAAAAATCGCAAAATAATTAAAATATCTTATTAATAAAGTATTTAAAATAAGAAAAACATAAAAGAAATTATAAAAAAAATCCCAAAATAAGAAAATTCAAAAAATTGTAAATAAAAAATGAAATTTAAATAAAATTAATATAAGAATAATAGATAAAATAAATATAATTTCAAGAATAAATAATTTTATTTATTTTATAAAAAACGAGAAAACACTATATATTTTTTTAAAAAAGAATCATTATCTTCAAATGATTCTCGTGAACCAAATCAAAGCAAACAAATTAAATTCCAAGTCATTTTGTTCTCATTTTGTTGCTTATTAGTCAAGGTTTTATGAATTTTATAACTAGATTAATATAGGGTATTTTAATAACTGCTAAAAGATTTGGATTTTAACTTGTTTCCTTTGATTTGGTTCACAAGAATCATTTGATGGTATATATCATATACATTTAATTATACGATGACATATATATAATATATAATAGTGACACGAAAAACAGATAACAATATAATTTGAAAAAAAACTTATGCAGGTGAAAGTCTAGGTGCTAAAAGACTTGGAATTTAATTTGTTGCTTTGATTTGGTTCACGAGAATCATTTGAAGATAATTAGATTATTGGGAAAATCGCATAAAATTCCTTGGAATTTAATTTGTTTGCTTTGATTTGGTTCACGAGAATCATTTGAAGGTAATGATTCTTTTTAAAAAAAAAAAATATAGTGTTTTCTCGTTTTTTTATAAAACAAATAAAATTATTTATTCTTGAAATTATATTTATTTTATCTATTATTATTATATTAATTTTATTTAAATTTCATTTTTGTTTTATTTAAATTTTTTTGAATTTTCTTATTTTGGGATTTTTTTATAATTTCTTTTAAGTTTTTCTTATTTTTAATATTTTATTNAAAAAAATATAGTGTTTTCTCGTTTTTTTATAAAACAAATAAAATTATTTATTCTTGAAATTATATTTATTTTATCTATTATTATTATATTAATTTTATTTAAATTTCATTTTTGTTTTATTTAAATTTTTTTGAATTTTCTTATTTTGGGATTTTTTTATAATTTCTTTTAAGTTTTTCTTATTTTTAATATTTTATTAATAAAATATTTTCATTATTTTTCAATTTTTTTAATGTTTATGATTTTTCTGATTTTTCTCAATTTTTTCTGATTTTTTTTCAATTTTTAAAGAATTTTTAATGATTTTTAATGAATTTTTATATTTTCTGTATTTTTATATTTATTTTTTCGTAATTTTAAAAAAAAAAAAAAACCGACACGTCATCGCTTTTGAACAGTACCGGTCACATTTTTAACTTGATGTACAAGTAAGCCAGATTGGAGGTTTAATATGCTAAGTTTGCCAACTTGAGTGTTTAAAGTGCTTGTAAAATACCCTCAGGATTTAAAGTGTAAGTGGTTGCCACCTTGAAGGTTTTTTAAACTAAAACACAAAGAAGAAAGTGGGCAAGATGTTCTTCTTGACGAGTTTGTTTTTTTTTAAAAATTATTGGTTTTATTTTTTTTTTAAATTACAGTTTCGAAACAGACAAGTCATTAGCTGTACCATCTCTCTTATTTAATTGAGTACGGTTTTGAAAGTTTGAAACAGAGTTTCGAAACATCAGTTTTAAAACCGCAGAGAATCTAGGAGCTCACCTGACACGTTGTGTAGTCTTATTTACCCATGAACATGATATTTAATTACGAAAAGGCCAGTACCCACTAGTGATCAAATCTAAGAAGACAAGACCAAACATCATTATTATTATATGCATATACTAAAACTTGGTGTCGGATTTGGAGTGACATTTTCCTCCATTGTCATTAGACATATCAAATGAATGACTGGATTTTAAGCGAACAAAACAATTCTCTTAAAACGATACAAACACATGTATGTATGATTTTAAAAGAAGAACAAATAAGTGAATCACTTGAGCAACGTGGAGAGTTGGAGAATAGATCCATTTGATTCTATAAAGATGAACACCAGAAAACCGGTTTACAAATTGTGAACAAATGGGAAACAAACAAACAAAAAATCCAATATTTCAATCTTTCTGACAAAACCATTCTTTTAGTTCAAAGCAGAATTCCTCAATAAAGGATCTTGAGGAAGAGAATATTCATATAGTGGAGGGGGAAGAAACTTACCTTTTCTCCTCTCTCCTTCTCCGGTAACTTTATCCACCAATTTTGCTTAGTCTTTGAGGAGGCCACACGACACGAGTGACCCGTCCTTGAATTAAACCCAAAGGAATCTACACCAAACAAGTTTATCCACATCATTCATACGAGAAAAGTCTTTAACAGTCTCATATACATTCAGAATCAATGAAAATATGTGTTAATGGAAAGCTGAGTACTTACAGGGCCAAAGGTTCTTGAGTCTAAGCTGGAAGCTTTGTTATCTCCTTCTACCCAACAATGTCCTTCAGGGACTCTGATCACATCCTCAGTGCTACTTATCCATTCCCCAGGCATCCCCACTATCCTCTTTATGTATTTATCCCTGTAATGAGTCGGAGAGCTGCCAGAGATATGCAATTACCACTGTCAGTGACTCATTGATGTATTTCCCAATATATTTAGTTTGAACACATACAACACAACTTCAGAGAAACATTACCATTAAACATAGTTGAGACCTATAGGCTGTAAGAGCCAGAGAAAAAAAACTGAGGTTTGGAAGCCATAGAAAAGAACAGAATCCAAACAGTTTGCTTTCATAGCCAAGTATTTAGATTACATTATATAAAAGATACAGTTTTCTGCAGGAAAGGAATGTTCAGAGATTGAAGCCAAATAAAAGAACAGAATCCAAACAGATTGCTTTCATAGCCAAGTATTTAGATTACATTAAATAGAAGGTAAAGTTTTCTGCAGGAAAGGAATGTTCAGAGATTGAATATGCACACATCTCATGATTCATTCAGCATTTTCCACAAGGCTCCAGTGCATTAGTATAAATAATGAGTGATGTAAGCATCCAAAAAAGGAAAAAAGCAAAAGACCATCATGTAATCAAGTATTCACTCAATACAGTATATAGTTCTATCTTCTCCTGCTAAAGGATGACTCCAAAATAGCTCAGCACTAGAGAAAACAATACCTGAACACTACAACATCCCCACGCGCAAACTTGTAATCCTTAAGGCAAAATTTGTCTACTAGAACATAATCATCTGCACCAAAACAACAAAACATCTATTAACCAAGAAGACTAGATTAAAAGAGACTACTTGGTGAATTCCTCTTCCCAAAAAAAAAACAATTACCTAAATAAGAATCTCTCTGGGGATTGAATGTTGGAGACATGGACTCTCCTCTCACAGGAACAACGCTACAAAATCTATCTGAAATGGTAAGCCCTATTATACCTCCAGTGAATGCTTTCTTCGTCACTTGCCATATAAGATTTTGGATTCCCATGGCCTATTTAAATATGTGGTTCATAAAACCATCCGCAACACAAACACCACAACGTTCCAGAAAGGTTGATACATCTTTTAAATTTACATATTAATACAAAATGGCATAATCCATTGATTGAAGGGGAATTCTTTCAAATAGCCATTTTAAAATTTTTGTTACAAAATAACCTTCAAAAAATAAAATGACTAAAATAATTATTTTGAAATTTATAATATTTATTTCTATTTTTAAAAATTTGAAACTCTAAACCCCTTTAATTCTAAACCCTAAATCTAGATTAGTTAACCTAAGGATATAATTGCATATTTACCATTTAATAAAAACTTATTTTGGTCATTTTCGCTATTTTTGTGAAAATAAATTAAAAAGGTCCATCCAAGAGAATTTATCTTGATTGAATAGTAACTTCTTAATCCAAACCAAACAGTAAGAATCTATCAAACTGAAAATCATGTCTGATCAACATAGCATTGTCAGTTCATGAGCCTATCTTGTGAACCTAATTGATTTATGGAACTGTAAGCATTGAATTTTAATAAAATTTAAAGCTTAAGCCAAACCGGAACCGGTACAAATTCGAGGAAGCAAGCAATGAGCAAACCAAACATTCTAAAGTGATGGAAATAACGTAGAAATCGAACAAGTTGCGGAGATTAGAAACAGAGACTGTGTAAAATGACTACCTGCAAATCGGATTCGCGAAGAAGATGAGAGAAGAGAAGCAGAAGAAGTCGCGGACGATGTGAAGAAGAATCAGGGTTTTTCGTTTTGCCGGAGAAACCAAACACTCTGTTTTGGGTAGAGGGTTTAACTTGACCCGTGAATTTAACGGTTCAGACAGAA